GAGAGAGAGAGAGAGAGAGAGAGAAACAGCTCACATACACACAAAAAGAAATTAGCTCACATAACTGTAGGGGCTGAAAAGTCTGAAATTTGTAGAGCAGGCCAACAGGCTAGAAATTCAGGTATGAATTGATGTTGCAATCATGAGGCCAAAAATCTACAAGGTAAACCTGGCGTACTGAAACTCAGGAAGGATTTCTATGTTACATTCTTGGAGTCGAATTCTTTCTTCTTTGGGAAACCTCTGTCTTTGATCTTAAGGTCTTCAAGTGATTGAATGAGGCCCACCCACATTATGGAGGGCAATTTGCTTTACTCAAATTCACCTGATTTAAATGTTAGTCACATCTAAATAAATACCAGCACAGCAACATCTAGACTAGTGTTTGACCAAACAACTGGGCACAATAGCCTAGCCAATTGACACATAAAATTAATCATCACAGTTTACAAATATGGCCTGCCTTTGCTACTCACATAGGCCACAATTATTTTCCTTTGAACTGGGTTACCTTGGGCTAGCTGATACTAGCCTTATACCCTATTCCTGTTCCCTAAGTCCTGCCAGATTTTTTGATACCAGGCCTACACTTTTGGTCTGCTTTTCTACTCTATTAACTGCTTCCAAAATAGCTTCAGTACAAGCTGCTAGACCAGTAACAGCAGACCACAAACAAAAAGAAGTCAGTAGTTCCTGTATTCTAGCTCAGGAAATTCTTCTCCTTCAAGCATTCCCATGAATAGGCTTTATTGGCTCCCCAAAGCACTTGGCTTTGTGTACTGTCTCAGTCTCATGTGGTGCCATGCCAGGCCGTTTGCCTTATTTCTGACCTGCTATTCCCTCAGGACCCTGTTCCCAATCTATGCTCTCCACCATCAATGGGCAAAGAGGTTCCATGTCTGTGCTCCACCATCATCTGGAAAGGAAAAACGAATAATAAGTTACAGCTCTTAAAACACTTTCACATCCAGATATCACTAACTGGTATTCTTTTTTTAAAAAAATATATATTTTATTGATTTTTTTTTTTACAGAGAGGAAGGGAGAGGAATAGAGAGTTGGAAACATCAATGAGAGAGAAACATCGATCAGCTGCCTCCTGCACACCCCCTACTGGGAATGTGTCTGCAACCCAGGTACATGCCCTTGACCGGAATCGAACCTGGGACCCTTCAGTCCTCAGGCTGACTATCCACGGAGCCAAAACGGTTATGGCAACTAACTGGTATTCTTGATGCCACCCTGAGAGTTTATAAATGAGCAAAGCCTTATTTGGTGGATGAAGAATCTGAGGTGCAGAAAGAGTAAGTCCTCGGCACAAGGGCACATAGCTAGGCAGTACACACGTCCCTGCTATGGAGACCAGGACTCTGGGTTATTTCATCAAACTAGAAGCACCTTTACAAGAAGTAATATGCAACATTGTTTCTAAAAAGATCACAAAGTCATTTTTTCACCTGTCACCTAGTCATTTCTTGCTTTCTTAAAAATTGCCCACAGCATTCTTTCTCTAGGCCTTAGGCTGCCGAGATACAGAAATTCTCCTTCATTTTGTATCTCAGAATTTTAACTTGAATTTAACCTACAAAGTCATTGACTGCACAGGCTGTTTGTTTGCAATACAGTTTGCTAACAGGCACATAATGGGTGAGTCTGGACATAGTACTTTCCATCCTGAGAAAGTACTAGGTCCCAAGTAAGAGAACCTGGCCCAAGGAATGGACATAAAGACTTTGTAGACAGAAACTGAAAATTCACTGGGGTTGAGATAGATCCAGAACCCTCAGGCCAGGCAGGCCTAAGAAGGCTTTGAGGGTAGAGTTTTTAATGAGATGTGAGAAATAGAGGATATTAGGCAATATTGGGATGGTCCAGAAGTGGTTAATAGGGCAATATCCCCAGAAATTAGAAAGAACATACCTTAAGAGGGTCTGGTAAGCAGTAGGCAGAGGTCTAGGCAAGGTTGGCAGAAGCTTTAGCAAGCAATGGCAATAAGCAACAAGGGGCTCTGCTAGACAGTAAGCTATGAGGCATCATTGAGTGTTGGACACAAGCCGTAGACAGCTATCTCTTCAGATAGGCTGACGGGCAAAACCAGAGAGTTCTGGCCATGAACACATACAGATCTGAAGAAAAATGGTAAAAGCAACAGAATTCCAGTCTTCAAAGGAAAAGGATACCAAGTATAAAGCTAAGGCAGGAACCCAGGCTCTCTGGTAAAAAAGAGTGGGTAACAGATGAAGAATGAGCTCCTGGGTATCGAGGAAAAGGCCAGGGAATGGTTACAGGAAGGTATCAATAATCTATTTATAGCTTGGTTGGTGTGGCTCAATGGTTGAACATTGGCCCATGAACCAACAGATCATGCTTTGATTCCTGGTCAGAGTACATTCCCAGGTTGTGGGCTCAATCCCCAGTAGGGGGGCGTGCAGGAGGTAGCTGATTGATACTTTTCTCTCATTGATGTTTCTATCTCTCTATCCCTCCCCCTTTCTCTCTCTAAAAACATATTTTAAACACAATCTATTTATAGTAGGACTGAGGCACAGTCTGAGAAGGACTTAAAGTTACACTGCCTCATTGACCCTGGACCCTTTAAATCTCATTTGACTATAAATAGGATGGAGCTCAGAGTCTTGCTGAGTGGGGTGAAGTAGGATGATGGCCTACATTTGGAGGCACAGACGCACATCTGTAAGTAAAGGAGTACTAAAGGAGCATGAAGTCAATAGTCAATTCCCTTCTAGGGCTTTTGGACTACAGAGAAACCTTCCCTAACCAGAAGAAAACCTGTAAGGAAAGCCCAGTTATACCTGTCACCACCTTTCTAATCTAGGGATCATGAGATGTGGATCTCTCTTTCTCATTACACAGGGTATCAGTAAGAACCCTCCAAAGCTAAAGCAGAAAGAAACATAACAATAAATATCTCATAATCCTAGAATGGGATAGCTGGAAGAGTTCAGCCCCCAGCACTAAGAAAGTGGGGAACCTGAGATCTAGAGTCTATTCAAAGACCTGCCCAAGATCAAATAATCAATAGAGGCTGGGACTTAGGTTTCCTGATTCTCGGCTCGAAGTTATTTCTATTAAACTCCCAAAAGAAATAATCCAATAAACACACAAATTGGAAGAGAGCTTTATGACAGACCAATTGCTATCCATGCTTTGGACAATCAAACTGACTTATCTCATTTGATTTCAAAACACACATACATAGATGTAGATTAAAAGGGTAGAGAGACATCATCAGCCATCTATATATACTAGTATAAAAGGCTAAGCGACTGTCAGACCATTCAACTGGTAGCTATGACGTGCAATGACCACCAGGGAGCAGATGCTCAGTGCAGGAGCTGCCAAACTGTGGTGACTTGGCGGTGGCGGTTCTTGGGTGATGCACCCCAGAACCAGAGAGAAGGGAGCCCGATTCTGGGATGTGTCACCCGAGAACCACCCTCTTGCAATCTGGGACCCCTCAGGGGATGTTGGAGAGCCAGTTTTGGCCCAATCCCTGCAGGCTAGTCTAAGGGAACCCCATCTGCTGGAGGGACCCCACAGATGACCTTCAAGCCATTGCTCTGTCCCAGGTGCAGCCAGCTGGGGAGGGATGGGGGGAGGCTGGCTCCAGGGTGTGCCCGACCTGTCTTGCCCAGTCCTGCCCTGTCAGCCACCTTCTAATTAATTTCCTTTCAATGTTCACAAATCCGTGCACCAGGGCACTAGTCATATATAATAAGTTAACTTACCTTCCAAAACCTGACTTGCTTTGTAATTTGAAATATAAAGACCTATAATATGTACCCCACCACAAAATGTGCTATATATAGTAAATTTCAGAAGCATGTTAATCTCAAAATGCCAGTATTTCCCTGTTGCTATAGTTATGGCATCTGGTTAAATCAGAGTTCAGCAGCAGTAAGCAATGCTAACATTGATCCCGGCCAATTTTGTGCTTTGCTTCTAATGCAGGATGAAGAAAATGGGAACAAAACAGTCACTTTCTCTTCCACTCCCTCCCAGGAACAAAGTCCCTTAGCTAGTCTGGATTAGACAACATATTGACACCCCAACTAGCACCAAAAAACTGGACTCATGAGTACCAAAGTATTGATTTCATGGTACAAGCAGCTCCAGGTTTATAACTGGGAGCTACATGTTCAGGAAGTGCTAATATGCCAAAGTTGCAATCTGCTCAATCAGAGAATTTTTTAAAATATATTTTTTATTGATTTTTTTACAGAGAGGAAGGGAGAGGGATAGAGAGAAACATCAATGAGAGAGAAACATCGATCAGCTGCCTCCTGTACACCCCCCACCGGAGATGCACCCACAGCCAAGGTACATGCCCTTGACCGGAATCAAATCTGGGACCCTTCAGTCCGCAGGCCGACAATCTATCCACTGAGCCAAACCAGTTAGGGTGATCAGAGAATTTTTATGCTTAATATAGTTGAAAGCTTGAATATCAATTCCTTTTACAAACATGCCATTTGAGGATTAATGGACAGCCAAAAATGAGGGCTTTCAAATGGATTCATCACTTTGGGCTCCATAGCTTTCCATTTGGAAATTTTCATTTTAAAATCCTATTATTTGAGGGCTTCTTTTATTTGTGTTTCAAAAGACATTGTCTTAGGTAGGTTTCTCAGGTTTATGCACTGGTCCATTAATGGGCCTCTCTACATAGCGCTCTATCTCCTTTACTCTAAAGAGTGATTTGG